ATCACAGTGTTTGTACATTTTAGGTACCGCTGATATCTACTGAATCTCACCTACTTGTTAACTCTGTAAACTTGTATTTAATTGCTCAATGAAATATTTTCCACCTGAAATCAGTCTATTTACTGAAGTGAAATGAGCCATCATTTTTCCATCAAAAAATAGGCTATGTTGCATTTGATATTTTTTCATTGAAAGTTAAAGTTTCCAGAGTCAAGTTAATGCCATTGTGTGATTTCCATGAAGAGGTAATAGCTTTTTCGTGGCCAGATCTACTTTTGCAGTACTAATTGAAGGGCCAAAGCAGGATACAATATTGGTGTAAATGAAATTTAATACAGCAGAGTCTGAAACTGTCAAATAGCAAAGATTTCAAGCACTGGATGCAATGTCTGGAGATTTTTGCTATGGTGACCAGAAAAGGTGTCTGTCATTACTCAGCTTGTGCCCTGAATGCTGTGGTGATGTGAGTAAAGTTGACTTCTAAGGACCAAAGAAAAAAGAATGCGGCCTGAAAACATTAGATCTCACTAAATCCATTAAGAGTTTACTGAAAATAATATGCTTTGCCTCATAGGCCATAAAAAATTGAACCAGCAACACAAGAATCAGAACCTTGGGTGATTTTATCCTTTTCAAATGGGAAACTATCATGATAAATTTAAGCACACATGAGGTCCTAGCTCTCGTGCAGCTCAGAATTTGCCCTCTCTTTAGAACCTGGAGGCCTTATTGCTGCTTTGCTTGTTCTCGAAAGGCCCTGTCTGTCACAAGCTCTCGGAAAAATGTGATCACTGTCTCTGGGCAAGGATCAACCTGAATCAGGCGCGGCAGTGAGCTGCAGACATGGAGCTGTGGCCTCCTGAGTCCTGGTTCTCTGGATCCACGTGAGACAGCAGGATGTGGAAAGGCCTCCGTGACAGGGCCCAAAGTACCCAGAGGTCTGAGGTTGAGACCATGTTCACTGTGCCCATATCAACCGTCCACTTGATCAGCCAGCATCACTCTTGCTGGGAAGACCCCAATGTTGGACATCATTCACTGAGGGGCTCATCTGTGTCTTGTTTCTGTGTTTACATTCTAGTGAGACCATTGTGGGCTCAAGGTCCCAGCTTCTCTTTCAGTGTCTCTAGGAGAAATTTGATCCACCACTTTTCTTGCAGCAGCAGAATGCAGGGAAGTTTCCAAAGAGTCAGTAATGTTCTGTGTGTGCCTCACCTTGGCTTTGTCTATAACTGCTTTAGACACAGGATAGATGATCCAAGTACCTTGCTAGATAAAACTCAATTAAAATTAGAAACATAATTCCACAGTTACACTAAACGTAGATCCAGGGCTGAATAGAAATATGTGATTCATGAGGTAGACTACTGATCAACAGGAGGGCATACACTTAAATAATTTTGGAAAATTATTTTGGTCATCACTGATCAGGTTTCCCATGTCACTCATATTGCTAAAGGCAGAGCCATAACTTCCCCACCTGCATCCCATAAGCTTGCTGGTCTCAGATGTTTCCTTGGCTCTGTAGCTTTTGCTTCATTTTCCCCCTGTACTGAATCAATATTTATTTCAGGATGACCCCTGTCAGAATAAATCTAAGGATTCAATCTTACTATGTAACAGTGCTATGGTTTCATATCTCCATTCTTTCTTAAGGATTGTGTGGGCAGTTGTTCAAATCCATACTTGGACAATTGACTGACTGTGACCAGGAGAAAGTGAGTAGGAAAGGAGGAAGCAGAAGGGAGGAAAACAAAATTATCCCAGTCGTGACCATTCTTGCATTGAGGAGGAGATAGGAGATGATATTTTTTTCACCTTAGCAGTGTTAGCTACTGCATCAAATGTAAATTCACTAGGGAGCTCCTGGGCTATAACTCAGTAAAACAATGTATTTGAGTTTATTACCTTTAGGAATAATCTCAGAGTAACTAATAAATACGGAAATGTTGCACAGTTAGGTCATTTTGTTGACAGTCTTTTAGGGGAAATATTTTTTCCTTAGGTAGGAAGCTATAACTGGAAGGAACAAGACACCTCAGACTTAAAAATTTAAGAAAAGAATCCAAAAACATCTATCATTATAGATAGTTAAATGAAATCATAAATGAACCAAATTATACAGGTGTTAACTGCTAATTATCCAAAGGATATAAACTTTAGTAGTCAAGATATAAAAATTCTAAGAAGTAAAGGCTAAACCAGAATAAAATTAAGGGTTTGTTGTCTATCTTGAAATTAACCTTCATTGTCTGGAGAAAAGTGTTTGCTATTCTGAGACGTCTGCTGTTTTGTAAGCTCTCAGAAGAGGAGGTGATAATACATGTGTCCGAATAAATCTTATAAGTCACCTCTCTTTAGTAATCTAACTGTGTTATAAAAGTAGTTTACAGTGCCATCCCTTAGAGACATGTGGGAAGAGGTTACCTGATAGCATTTCTCTACTCAACCTATAATCACAGCCTTGTCGGTGTATTACAAGCTGATGGTGATTATAAACAGGAAGCAGGGAAGAGAGGGAAACAAGATACTAACTAAGAGTTTTCTTGCAGTGAGGATGTGTGAGGTTACTTTGTCTTCTCTGCATTAATCACTGTATCAACTACTGATTTCAGCAATAAATTCAGGAGATATTTCCTAATCTGCAAGTCAGAAATTTTGTTCCTTACATCAATAAATATTTATAATCATGCTTATTACTTTAGAGATCCTCAGAATAACTAATAAATATTAAACAAATGCACTTCTAGTTTTATAGCGTTAGAAAGTAAATGTGTTACCTTAGTGACAAAGATCTAACTAAATGCAATAAAATAAATATTAATTGTGTAGAAATGTAAAAACTTACAGCATTACAGATAAAATTATAATTGCCATTGAAACATAAAACATCCTGGTGAACAAAACAAATGAAGTCAATCTACGTGTCTGATAAATTAAACAAACTATATGGCCTTAATGAACCAACATTAAATAATGCCAAAAATAAGGGATAAACCTGAATAATATGTTACCATATTTATCTTGAACACAATCATCTGTAGCAAAGTATTTGCCATTCAGAAAATCTTCTGTTGTGACCTTTATATATTATCACCTCATTATTCTTTTTGGACAACATAGATCCTCTTGGGAGATTTCCGGAATGAGTGAATATTCGTGACACTGGGAACAACACCTGCAATAGCAGAGTCACCAATATACCAGCAATGAAGCTCTGATAAATTAGGACTGCTGTGTCCCGTAGCTGTAATAATGTATTCCTAGCATTTAAGTTCATAATTTTCAAAGAAAATTGAAAGTAATGTTTGCCTGAGAGATGTTAAACTGTGAAACATGGATCTGGGGAGGCTGAAATCCCTTAAAGGAAGGAGGTGTTGGTGGAGGCAGGAATGTGCCTGGGCTCCAGTGTTAGCTGCGATCCCTTCCTCAGGCCCTGTGCAGTGGCTGCGAAGAGAGAGCTGGAGAGTGGCTTACAGGAACCCAGCACTGGGACCTGCTCACATCTCAGCTGTCACACTTGCAGCCAGTGACCAACCACTGAGTGTGTGAGCTAGGGAGCTGCTGTGTTCTCACAGGCTGCTCTGTCAGGGGCTCTGGGACAGGAAGGATGGGCTGGCTTTACAGACCTATAGTGTGATTCTTTACAAACATTACCTGCAGGTCTTCAGGGGCTCATGGGCATTGCCAAAACTAAATATTTGTCAGATCGTGAGGTTACACACGTCATGCTCACTGTCTTATTACCATTATCACTTTAGATCTCAAGGTGAACTGTTAGTCTTTTGTCCTCAGTACTAGGATGGTTTATTAATAGGAGTCATTTGAATTTTCTATATCATCTTTTCTCATACATAATAAAATACAATCAGCTTCAACTATACAGCTAAAAAGATTCAGTCATGGCCTGAGGGTAAGAAATTGAACAGGCTGCTGTGTTAAACATCTTCCAGTAGATGGTGAACAACCCCACATTAAACAAAGAGTGGTGCTTTCCTGAGAGGGAGCCACTAAGGCAGGGAGCTCTGCCCAGCTCTCGAAGCTCACATGGCTGGGGCCTCTGTGCACAATGGTCCCTGTCTTCCTCATCTGCCAGTTCCTTACTATTTCTTGTTTCAATCTGTGACTGGTATTCACATGACTATGGTGAGCTACCCAGGAGGCCTCTGGTCAGCAATGAAATAGGATGGGTGACAAAGCTAGGGCCACAATTCTGAATGTGGCCAGCCATCAGTGAAACAAGAGTAAAGTGGCCTGGTGTACTCTGAGGTGGAGGTGACAGGGGCTGTAGATGTCGACTGCAGTCAGAGATGTGGAGGAGAAGCCCTGGAGGAGTCCCTAAGAGGAGGGCACTGGGGCTCTGACTGCAGATCTGTTTCCTTGCTGTTCTCCAGAGGCCTTGGCTCAGAAATATTCTGACCCCCAGAGATCTGTTTACCACTTTAAGTATGTCCTGATGCTCAAATTGTTCTCAGATGATTCTAACTTATCCTGCAACGAACATCGAGCACAAGAATCTGGCTGGGCCTTAGAACTGTGCTTGGTTGAAGACAAGCAGAAACATGCTTCTGTGTGTGCTATGGAAGCCTGGGGCTGGACAGCAGCACTGATCAGGTCCTTCCCTGCCCTCTAGTCATGGTGTGATAGTGAATAGACAAACCCAGAGAATTTCACAGAGTTCACAGATTCTGCTCTATCCTTGTCTTGCTTTCTCATTTTTTACCCTGTTTGAAACAGCCCATGTGTTTCCCTTCATTCTTCTTTCTCAAAGGGATCATAACATAGAACCCCAGTCCTCAAGCAAGGCGTGTTCTGTAACGTGAGAGCAGCAGTGCACTCTACTCATTGGACAGCAGCCCAATTCTGTCCTGTGGCCCAAGGGAGAAACAGGTGCTCTGTAAGCGCATCTGTGCTGCCCTGTTGTGGATAGGGTCCCCAGGGGACACTGAGCCTGTGCTGAGATGAGCCAACCTGCAGCTGGGCCAAAAACCTTCCAGCCCTGCTAATTTGCATATCCCAAGATCCCAGCCAGCTACATGTGGACTTATTTACAGGCTGCCGTTCTCACCCTGTGCAGCTTCATTCCAGGTCAGGACACAGCATGGACATGAGGGTCCCCGCTCACTTTCTGGGCCTCTTGGTGTTCTGGATATCAGGTAAGAAAGGGTAGCACAAGGAATTTACTTAGTTCTGAAGGTTCACAGTTGCCTGATATTGCATTATGGGCCTGATTTATCTTGAATATCTGTTGATATTTGTTAAGTTTCCCATTTCAGGTGCCAGATGTGACATCCAATTGACACAGCCTGCATCTGCATCTGCATCTGTGGGAGACACAGTCAAGATCAGTTGCCAGGCCAGTCAGAGTGTTAGCAGTCTCTTAAACTGGTATCAGCAGAAACCAGGGCAAGCTCCTAAACTCCTGATCTATTGGGCAACCAATTTGCAGTCTGGGGTCCCATCAAGGTTCAGTGGCAGTGGATCTGGGACAGATTTCACCCTCACCATCAGCAGCGTGAATCCTGAAGACTTTGCAACTTATTACTGTCAACAGAGTAAGAGTAACCCTCCCACAGTGATACAAGCCATGACATAAACCTCCCAGGGAAGCAGAAGTGTGAGGCTGGGCTACCCCAGCTGCTCCTCTTTGTGTCTCCAGCTGCAGACCAAGTTCTTCAGATGCATCCAGGCTCTGAATGTCACTGGAAGGATTGGGTAGAAGCATCCAAGAAAGCTCCTTCTTCTGCCAGCTTCCTTTTCAGCTTCTCACCCCCGATTTAATGAAAGCTACCAATGAATACACTGAAGTAATGCAGATTATGGCTTTATTTTGTATTTACCTGGCCACACAGATGCTATTCTTAGAATTTTAAGCAATAATTTTTAAAATCTTTTTCCACTGTTATTGATTTATTAATTAATTTTGGTTTTTTATTTTAAAGAGATTTTTATTTTAAAACCGAAGTACAACAGAATAAAGTTAATTCAAACAATACAATGAAATTCATACTGCACTAAAAAACAAGGTAATAAAAATCAACAGTGGCTAACAAGATGTATCCTGTTAAATTCAAAGTAGCTTCACATAGCATCAGATGTGATAGTCAAATAAACAAAATGGAATAAATTCAAACAAAACAATAACCGATACAGAACATCAAAACAAGATTATAGGATATTAGTAATGGTTGCAGACATGCCTCTTATAAATATGCATTTAGAGATCTGCATTCACAACAAAAGTTAAAGTGCAGAGATATTTTCGATGCCTCTGCCTCTACATCTGCATAGTAGATCATCACCATAAATTGCAGCTATCGCAACCCATCAAAGTAAGTTTAAGCTCAAAGTTCACAGTTCACGTTAAGTTTGACTGTTGACATTAAATATTTCAGGAAAAAAGCCAGGTGTAATGCACACGTCCAAATTGTGTTATGACACAATGCAGTTATAATACCACTGTCTCATACTTATGCATCTTCTTTATCCTCCATTTTCTGTAAGAGAATCAAGTCTTCCCTATAGTTTTTCCTTTTATGCAAAACAAAATCTTTGTAGATCACAGTATGGAAGATTTTCAAAAGCTAATTTCAAAATATACTACTATCGAACAGAGAAATAAAAATAATGAATAATACATTTTGCCACTACCGAGACTCCCTTTATAGCATCTATTATTATCCCGAATATCCAGGAATAGTAACGTTGTTAGATGGTTTACTTTGCAATACTATGATGTTTTCATAGTACTTTCAAATGAAAATCATATAAGTAATACTAATAAAAACGATAGTCATAGCCAAACAAGCATTAGATAATTTTTAAATAACATTTCAAAATAAAGTTATTGTTTTATAAGAGGTAGGTAATTTACACTTTTTACTCGTAAAGTTTTAAGAAGTTATTGTTAAATGGAAAGGGTATCCTGCCCCTGGTTTTGTCTGACAATAGCAAACGTAGAAATTGGCAGGTATTCCTTTGTCTCCCTCTAGTGGCTAAAATGAATATGTGCAGCGTTTCCAATCTCAGCCTCAGATGTGACTGAGGGGATGAGGAACTAGGAGGAGCCTGAGAGACCAAGCACTTTAATTTCTTCATTTTCAATGAAAAAAAAAAAAAAAAAAACAAAGTCAGAATAGGGAAGTGACTTTCCCAAGACATTACAAACAGCTTAGAATAGATATCTGATATCCTGATGCCTTCATTAATATTTCCTGCTGGGCCCAGTTCCACCCTTTAAGACCCAATCATTCCAGCTATGTCTCTGCTTTCCCTGCCCATGACCCTTAGACCTAGTGTGTGCATGCCAGTGCGAAAGCATGTGTGCACAGGTGGGTGCCCATAAGAGTCCTTTGTCTCTGACCCCACAGCACCTCATGAGCACCTGGAGTTTTCCTTCCTATGCTTGCCCGCAAACATGCCCTGGACTCAGTCTCTCCTCTTGTAACTTCCTGGGGCTGTCACCCTCCCAATATGACAGCGGCCCTTTGCCAGAACCCTACATTCCTATGGACAGTGAGGCTGAGTTCACCCTCCGCCAGGGCTGCGGAGCTCCTCCAGAGGCAGGGCCCTCAGGGAGAGGGTTGCATTCATTCCTTGACCCTCTGGAATCAGAGCTGGACCCATGCTTCTGAGATGGTATCAGATCACAGAGGCCCCAGCTTCGGTGGATCACATTGTGTTTGCTGACATTGCTGGCGTATAAACAGTATGCAGTCAGTAAAAACTATACTTTGGATTTTGACATTTTGTCTTTTCCTGGGCGGGCACTGTTCCATATGATACTCTCTGCCGTGCTGAGCAGCAGCAGCTACCAGTGAACCCCATGATCCAGAGGCGAAGCAACCGTCACAGCAAGGCCTGCAGTGTTTGGACATCAGGCTTTGTATTTCTGCTTCCTGTCACTTCTGTAAACCCCATCAGCATGGGTGCATGAGACAACACTTGGTTATAAAACAGGTTCCTGTTAATTGATTTTGCCCAACTGTAGGGTGATGTAGGTAACCTGAGAATATTTAAGACAGCCTAGGCTGAGTTAAGGTGTTCAGTAGGTTAGACCTACAAGATTCCATGCATTTCCCCCCTATGGTATGTTCACAGCATAATAGAGTTGCTGAGAGGGAAGCCAGGAAGTCTCTGTACATCCATTGGATGCCAGTGAATCACTCAAAGAGACTTTCCTCAGGCCACAGTTTTCCCCACATTTTCCATTCCTGGGAATGGCCCAGTGAGGTGAATTTCCTAGGATCTCATATCCAGCTTCTCTCCCACAGCCCTGGGTAGAGCCTTGCCCAGCTCATAACCATGATCACCAGCAAGTGAAACTTCACATATGTCAGCCACTTGGGACCAGGAAGAATGTGAAGAGGAATGATGTGAGATTCCAGGGACTTTTCCAACATGTAAAGGTCAGACTGAAAAAAACAATTTAGACAGTAAAAGAAAGCAGAGCAATTAGGTAGGTGTAGGGTGAACTGAGAACAGAATCCCCAAGTGAAAGGGGAGCATTCTGGGAAGGCAGTGAGCAGCAGGGCCTGGCCCTTAAGAGAAGGTTAAAATGCTGGAGCTGGGGACCACCTAGTTAGGTTGATTCATCAGTAATAATTTATCATTTCAGTTGTGTGGTGAAGGCAGAAGACTGATTGTCGTGGGCTGAACAGTAAAGGATGCAAAAAAGGGTGGAGACAGATGCAGGCATCTCTTGGAAAGCAAGATGTGAAAGGAGAGAGAGAGAAATGAGGTGGACAGGAGGAGCTGGGAGCCAGAGGAAGGAGGGCTGACATTTGATTGGTGAAATCAATGGGTGGGAATGGAAGGGGTGAAGGGCTAGGGCCGGGGTAAGGAGAGACATTCTTCTGTGAGATGGAACAGGTGGGGGTGGGCAGCAGGGTCACATCTTCATCTCCTGGATTCTCTGCTCTCCATCTTGGAAGCTCACGGGATCCTCTGAGCTTTTATTTCTCTAAAACCAATCCCACCTTATCTAGGCCAGTTGTGCTCAGTTCCAGGGAGATAGGCCAAAAAGGACTGAAGATCTGTTCCATTAAATTATGTTTTAATTGTATATTTTAATGGGATACAGTGATGTTTAAACACATGTGTAATTTCTGAGTGGCACCATCAAGAGGTGCCACTCTGGATTCAACAAAAAATTCACCCTTTTTTCACACAGTGCTGCTGTATTAGGATCCTGAGTATCAGGGTCATAGGGACCTGCACTGGATTCTCAGGAAATCCTGTATCATCAACACCTTCCCTGTCCACCATGCGTTAGTAATTATCTGTGTCAGGGATCCTCATGGCCTTTAAAGCAATGGCTGTTGGGTGGTCTGGAGAAAACGGAAAGGACCAAATTGGAAGAACACTCACAAGACTGTTCTCCTGGTGACCATTCTTTGCATATCTCCTCCTCACACAACCCCCAACCTATTCTTATAAGGATCTGGAGCCTTGTGTGGTACCCAGGCTCTGCCAGCATGTTTCTGATGGCCCCAGTGTGGCTTCTTTGGAGCCTGGCTTTCTGGGGAGCAGGTGAGGAAGGAGGGCCCAAGGAGAGGCCAGTTGAGCAAACTCTGTGTCCTTACTGAAGACAGCTCCTATTTGGTACATAAAAATTCCATGCTCTGTAAATGACAGTTTCCGTTTTTACCCTTTAGCAGGCAGTGGGGGTGTCACCATGATCCAGACACCAGCCTCTTTGTCTGCATCTCCAGTAGAGACCTCTCAGTCTCCTGTCAGGCTAGTGCTGATGTATACACAGAGATGCCTTGGATGAAGATTAAACTGAGTCAATGACTTGAGGCCCTAATATTCATGTCACCACTGTGGCACCGGGTGTCCCAACCAGGTTCAGCAGCAAAGGAATTTGAATGAGCTATGTCTTCAGCATCAGACTTGCAGAGCCCGGGGAGTCTCGAGAGTATTTCTGCATGCATGACTATGGATGGCCAGTCCACAGTGGTGCAGGCTATGCACAGATGTCCTGCTGTGTTTCCCAGAGACTGGATTTCTAGAAGTCAGGCTGTACCTCGCTGATCCATGTCCTCTTCCAGAGATACACACCATATTCCTTTTTGAGTAGACAAAACAGTCTCTGTCTTACCTCTGGGTCATTTCTCCCTTCCTATTTTCTGTTGTATTCTAATGGTCCTGTATGTAACATACCAGGCTCTTTAGAGCTGCAGATGGCAGCTTTCCCTGCAAACCTAGAGGATCACAGAGCCTAGACTTTGCACCTCCCAGGTCAGCCTCAGAGGGTGATGGCAGGAGGACCTGCCTGCTCCATCCAGCGCTCTTGCTCCAGCTTCTGTAACCAGACTTCTGCTCCCTGTGTTTCCAGAGGGTGCGAACTGTGGCCATTCTCATTTGTAGCCTTTTACTTCCATCTTTCTTCCTTTTTCGCTCCCTCTTTTCCTCCCAGGCTTCTTGATGGCTCACAAACATGCAGCCTGCGTGGGAATCCTTGTTGCTGGGGGAACTGACATAAAAGAGCAAACAAATCTACATGTTGGAGGAAAACTCTCACCTGAACTTTTGCAGTTTCTTTCTTTCTTTTTCTTCCAGGGAGAGGAACTAGAAGATTCAAGAACCATTTAATTTCCTCTCCACCAT